AGGTCGACCAGATTTATCCCCCGGAAACTGCGGAAAGTAGTAAATTCTAAGAGGAACAATGAAGAGTAAATAGCATCAATGAGAATAAATGCAATAAAGGCAAGTGTCAAACCTCAACTCTCTGCCTCAACAGAAGATATCTTCCGTGGGTTCTTTTACCTCCAACATGAACAATCATATCACATTGCAAACAAAGGGAACTTCCATCTATCTCACAGTAGAAGAAAGCTATACATATTTTTCAATTGCAGGATATCAGTTTGAACCACATTCAAGATCGTAGCGAATATAGTAGAGAAAAAACGTTGAAGAAATAAGCCTGCATACCGGGTGCATTTTCACATATATCACAGCGAGGAACATCATTAGGATCTGCCAGGCCAACCCTCACATGCCGACTAGCAAGCTTATTACACATGTGCACCTGGCAACCCGATTACAATATTGAGCAGGATGACCTTAAATCATGAAAGAGAAGTATCGGTTCAAACAAAATTAAAGAAACCTCCTATTGGTGAAAACATTTAAAAAAGAAAGAATTTTTCAGAAACTCCGCCAAATGAACTTGCTTCCTCGCAGATGCAGCGAGTGTAGGCAAAATAAGAGGGGAGGATGGTGAAATTAATTATATAAAACTGAAAATCATGACATACAAGGCCATCCCCCTTCCGATTACCCTCCCTATTCTGCTCCAATAACCAAGCCAACCCATTGAGGCATTACCTATAAGCTTAAATTTTCAAGAAAATAGGTTCAAAATCTATTATTGTCGGAGCAAGGTCTAGTGTTTGAATAATGGTTTGCACGTGAGGAACCTTGATTAGTTATATATAATAGATTAAAGAATTTCCTATCAGTATCAGTAGAACCCAACAAAAAGAAAACAACCAAACAAACAAAGCAACTGCATAAATCTCTCAAGAAACTGGATATCAATCAATCAAATTTTCAATAAAGATCTGCAGAAATGTCCTTCCACAGATCAACTTTACAATTTCATATATATTTTAACAAGGTAACTATTACTTCAGCATATAATAGAATTCTAAGTAAAATTAATTCCAAGCACCAGAGACTGGATCAAACAAACCAAATTTCTTCTCCTAAAAAGAAATTCCAAGTTCAGATCACGTATAATCGACAGAAACTTTTCCCGTGAAGAAGATAATCCCAAGCTTGATATAAAAGCAGCAAATAATGAACAATTAAAAAAAGGCAAGTGATTAGAAGGAGAAAGTGCAAGAACAGAAGAAACCCACATATGAAAACAACATACAAATCCCATAAAGTAGAGAAAACAAAAAAAACAAGAGCAAAGAATTAACAAGATAAACATGAAATACCCATAAATTATCTGAGCGTACCTTTTCGTCGCAAGCACGGCAGAGAGCAGCCTCATCGGCAGCACAAAAGACGATTGCGGCAGCACTCTCACAAGCGTCACAAAGGGTTCGCATAATTCTCTCCTAATCTCATTTCTCTCCACTTAAGGAATTATAAAAAATATCACCCATCTGATCTCTCTCTCTCTCTCTCTCTCTCTCTCTCTCTCTGTGTACGAACAATACAGAAAAATACAAGTATTATGTGGCAGGAAACAAACAAACGAAGAAAAGCCTCAACAGTCCTCCATAGATATTCCAAAGGCAACAGAGACACAATTCAACAAAATCTATACACACACACACACCCCTACCTGATTGCTCTGTATCGGAATATTATCCTGTTAGAGTTATAGTTGTTGTTGGTTGGTGGTAAGGATGATAATGATTAGGACGATGACGGAGAAGGAAGGAGATAAAAGGAGTTTATATTATGTGAGTTGGGGTCCTCTGAGACTGAGAGAGAGAGAGAGAGAGAGAGAGAAGAAGAAGAAGACGTGTGGGTGGGTACATGTGATTAATTTTCTTCAAATTTCCGCCATTAATTATTAAAAATGGAGTTTAGTCAAGTGCTGGCCACAAATTTCAGAAAGCTTTCGTGACAGAGACTGACACCCCTGCCTTATTCTCACCCACCAGTTTGATATCTAGCGGGGACCCAGTTAAGGTTTTTCGCTTGCTTGAAAGCCGTCCGCAAGGTATCTTCTCCCAAAATCTATGCTGGCACATGGGTAGTTTTGAGTGACACGTCTCCTAACCAGGTTTTCATTTATAATATTAAATAAAAATTAATTAATTAGTTAATAAAATATAAACAATTTTAAGTAAAAATTTATAGTAGTATAAAATTATTCTTTTATTATATTTAATTCTCAAATATAAATTAATAATTACAACTCTTATTTTACCCTACCCTTTTTTTTTTTTTTTACTTCATACCCTCAAGCATGTTTACAAATCTATATTAAAAGCACTTATCTTACATCAGTTTTTTTAGGCAGTTTAAAATGAAAAATTCATCATATCCGTTGTCAAGTTCTCCATCATCTGAGTCTCCATAAAGCAGCACTTGTTGAAAGGTGGTTTCTTGATGCCTGTCATTAATGGAGGCTGCTTGAAAGCGGATGCAAATGATGAAGAAGGAGAAGATGATGATGAAGAAGAAGAAGAAGAAGAGAAGGGAAGGATTGGGATTTTCTCGCAGTTGCAAATCTCAATCATGTAACCATCTGGGTCATGGAAGAACACTTGATCTACCTTCACACCATCGTCGTCTATTGCAGCTGTCACGTACCTCATTCCCATCTCTTGCAGCCTCCTCTTCACAAGACATATGTCTCTGCACTGTTTCAACAAATATTTTGTCAAAATAAATAGGTATCTTTTGTTTGAATAATTTGAATTTATTGCAATTTAAACTCTAATTTATTTTATTTAAAATTAATAACTTCATGTAAAGTGACAACAAAACAAGCTACAATATCAGTAAATTATTAAATTAGTCTCTTAAGTTTGACATTTTTTATAATTTATTATTTACTATCTTTTATTATCATGCTTTTTATTTATTCAAATATTTAATTTCTTCATATTTTTCAATGAAAAATTTAAATAGTTAGATCATAAGCGAACACTGTAAAAAAAATAATTTACAAAACTAAATTTAACTAATTAATTATTGTTACTAATTTAATTAATTAGTTAAAATAAAAACTTTAATTTTTTTTAAAAAAATATCTAAACATGATCTTACTAAATTAACTTTGTGGGTAAAGATATAGAAGAAAATTAAATATTCGAAATTAATAAATAATAATTAAATTGAAATTTAAAAAAAAATTAAAAATTAATTTAATAAATTACACTTTATATTATCTTACTTGGAAGGAGATATGGTTGTCCTTTGGATTAATTGGTCTTGTTTCTCTCATGGTATCAAATTCATTCATTGATGGATTCTCGATCAAGTGTATGGCAATCCCATAATTATACAACCTACTAGTAAATGAGAAATATCAATAGTTTCCCTTCAGTTACGGTGTTAAACATATAAAACCATTATGTTATTACCAAGCTCCATTGAAATTGAAAGAAGAGGGGCGTTTGATGAGGACAAAGCCCAAGACATCTTCATAGAACCGCACTGAATCCCACAGTGAAGCACATAATAGAGACACATGATTCAGAGACATCAATGGCAGTGTCTGATAATCTTCTACTTCTTCAATCTCCATTCTCTCTCTCTCTCTGGCTTTGGTTAATATTTCTCTGCATGAAAAACCAATACCTTGACAAGTCCTTTTATAACCCAAAAAATGTCATATGGGAAATATCTTATTGGTGATTTAATTCAAGCTTACAATTTGATATTTGAGTTTTTCTTCATGAGCCATGAACTTTCCTGGTAGATTCACTTCATCCAAACAGACAAATAAGGTGCAGTCACTTTTATGTATGTTTGGCTATAAGTATACTTTATCTTGTGTTGTTGAAATTGCAAAACAAATGTACAAGGAATTTTTATGAGCAGTTGGGTGTTAAGTGTTTGACAACACGTGTTTGATAGCTATTTCTCGACCCACAGAACACATCTACCACCTACCTGTCTTTAACAGCGTGTTTATATATACGTATAGGAATATGTTAACGGCAACATCTGTTGATTTTTTGTCGACAATAATAGCTTGATTAGATGAACCCTTTCTACGAAATTGTAAATTCAAATCGGGTTTAATAAGAAATTCGTACTATAATTAGTGTGTTGTAAATTTACACTCAAAAACATTGATTTGGCAATTTTCTTCGCAACATTTATGTAGCAAATAGAAACAAGCCTCTTATAATAAATTCATGTAAATAATATAGATATTGAGTACGTGGCCTCATCAACATCCATTTTTGATGGTTTGCAGCCAAAAGTTGACGCGTAGTACATAGTAATATTTTACGTCCATGCGCATAATCATTTAACAAGTAAGTACCTCATGAGAACCATCGTTTACCCAGTTGTCAATGTTGCATCCATACATTCATCGACGATGGCAACGACTGCCACATATAGATATACACTTGTGTTTCTGCGTGTATACATGTATATATTATATAGGAGGCGTGAACAACTGAAATACTTAATTTTCAATACCATTTTGAGAAGCTGACCTCGACCCAGTGGACCTTGCGTTAATCTCTCTCATCTTGCCGTTAATACCGTATGCTTCTGCCCTTCTTTTTGTCGTTGTTGTTGTCCCATATCGAACAATATTATTGCGACTTTCATCCCCCATTTCACCGTCGACATTATTACTACTAGTCATCTTTTTTACCATCACCCTTTCTCCATCATTGTTTTTATAATTACTGTTTACCGTCAGATCATTGTCGTACCGCCCCTCCCATTATTATCTCCCCGTTCTCATTAATATCACAGTTACCATTACCATTATTTATATGAATAAAGAAAAATACAGTATTAATATTTTCTTACTGCATTATTCCAGACATATAGTAAGGTAAAAATCACCTTCTAGATGAAAAACTAAAGCAATTTTCAGTTTATGCATGTCATATGTAGGCAAAAACATGCTAGTTTTTTTCTCTATCATTCTAATGTTACCAGATGTAACATAGCTGTTAATATTTGATTCACTGGGTCTCAAATAAAAGTCCTGTTAAAGGGATAAAACATAACTGCCCATTCCCGAGAAATTACCTCACTTCATTAGGTACCATATGGTGCCTCCAAAATATTATACCTCGCAGTAATTTCCTAACATATGATAATAGTTAAATAATTTCGTGTAGAAATCACTTAATAATTAGATAACCAAATAAAGTTAGGTGATTATGACATAAAATTACAATATTACCATAAATTATTAATAACCCGGAGCACCAAGAAATTTTTCTTTTCTATCCGTCCAAAAGGAAGAGTGAAAATCAAATTACAGCTTCAACTAAACTTCAGACAGAAGCTTATTTCAGGGATGTGCTGTATAGGCATATGAATGTGAATTTATTTGCTTCCTCGTGACTTAAGGCATAAAAATACATGTGAATTAAACACATGGGAGTTAAGCTCCAATTGTGAAAAAATACATATATATTTTCATACATACATACATACATACATACATCAGAGCTTAATTTATGCGCATAACGCCAAAATTTAATAGCAAAAACAGCACGTCCTATATTAATATTGCCTAGAGATCCTCCCTGATATTATAAAGAAAAAACATAATCCCCAAATCCACAAAAAGATGATCTCTTTGAATTTCTGAAAACCACTGTCTTGCTCTTCCTTGCAAGTTAGATTTTCGTGATGCATTAATCTAGTAAAAGGTCATTATTTCTGACATTCCATACACCAACACTACCTTATTTCTGATTTCATAATAGCATATTTTCAAGCCCTACAGTAAAGTGATTCAAATCACAACCACATGCATTGCTGGGGAAACTACTTTGTTAATTACTGTGTGAGGAGAACTAATTGATGGAGCTCAGCATGGTTCTGCCAGAATTCTTTCCAATGAAAAAAATTCATAATAGGTGGAAGTTAAAAACTGGACAGCAGCTAACAAAATTGTAACCTACTTACCACGCTGATGAAGAGGGGATTTAGAATTATGCATTTACTACCAACTGTTCGTGATCACCTACGTGTGAGCTTCCTTCCCCAAAACTAGCAGCTTTTTCATCAGCTACTTTATCACCTACACTTCCTTCCTCAATCTGATCTTGTTTCCCTGAGACTGCATATATCTGTCTCCTGGCTTCCCTTCGAGCTGCCCGCTCGGCTAATTTCAAATCTCTAAAACCTTGCTCAAACTTAGCTTCATCTTCAGGTGAGAAGAATACTACCTCCATCTGCCCAAGCTCTTCATATAGCTTCTCGATCTTTGATTTCCAGAAAAGGCCCATCTCCGTGTCCATCTTCTGGTAAGGAGTCTTCAGCAAGTACTCATCAATTCCACCTGCCTTGTCTATGCAACGAAGAGCATGAGTAGTGACTTTGACTCGAATGTGGCGGTCCATGATGTAACTAAAGAGCCGCTTCTCCTGGACATTTGGTTTCCAACTCCTCCTAGACCTGTCACAAGTATAACATAAAGGTTTTGAGACTACTGTAGTTTTCTTGCAAAATATACCATGATGCAAAAACAGAGTAAGCAAAAGGCTCCACTTATTTGGAAATCATATAAGCCACCATATCCATAACAAAAAAGGAAAATGAAAAAAGAACTAGAAGATATAACAAGTGTCTGGATCCTCAATCCTTAAGCATCGATATATCTAAGAAATGATCAAAACATAGCCAAAATAGAAAAAGGACAAACTCAAGTGAAATATCTTGA